AATGGATGGCAGATTTGCTGTAGTAGTGGTCTTGTCTGTATTTGTAATGTGCTTTGTCTACTTAGAAAGTATGAGAACATTGTCAGCGATTGTTTCTGTGTTGCTGTTTTACAAACTGAGTATCAGGTCAATAGAAATATTTTAAAAGTAACCTAATTAAAAATAAATCTGTTTCAATTGCTCTCTGAGCCAGGATCTCTCCCCGAACAACAAACACATTTGACAACCCTGCTGCTAATGGCATGATAAAGTTGATATAAGGATAGATGGTGCTCAGATCCTCGGGGGCTTTTCCATTGCAATTTTTTGAGAGAAGTTGGAGGCAGAAGCAGGGACGAGCAGGGGCATTTTCAGAGACAGCCGTGGCTTTTATTTCCTTTGTGTGGATCCTCCTGTTTGATGTTCAGGGCAATATTTCATGTTCCCCAGCTTAAGGAATGAGTGCTGCAGTGATGAGCTGTGGAGAGAGAAGCTGGAGGCTGTTTCCCTTCTGAGAAATCAGCCCATATAATCTCCTGAAGTCGGCAGAGGCAGTCTGGCAGGAGCAGAGTGTAACCAGTCCTTGGCTGAGCCTTGCAGTGTCCGATGGGCCCTGGGGACAGGGGATTGTAATGGACTTGATTTCGCACCAGGGCTGCGTTTTGAACTGATGCTTGAGGGCTGAGAGTAGTTATTTTATTAACTGTAGGTGTTATTTTCGCCCTCTGCATCCCAGCAGCACACTTGAGGGTTTTCATCTGACCATGTGGAGTTTGGACATTTCCTTCAGGTTCTTTAAGTGTTCCCTGTGTCTGGCAGGTATTTACAACCAGAGCCTTCCCCTCTATGCTTCCTGAGATCTCAGAGCTGTGTAAATTCAGAGGATTAAGGCAGAGTTTGAGCTGGGCTGAGCAAACAAGCAGTGATAACTCCAGCCAGAGGATGGCTGTGGATCTGAGCTCGTGCCAGGGTCCTCCAGGGCTGATCATTATTTCCTGATCAAAATGTGGAGTCCATTGTGCAGAAGGTTCTGGCTGTGGCATTTTGGGGGTAAGAAGAGTCTCATTCCAGAACTGAGGGCAGTGCACCCCTGTTATTCCCAGCTTTATTTATAAACTGAGCGCTGTGCACCTTGAGTGCCTTTGGAGATCGCAGCTGTGCCTTGGTGACAGAAGAAAAATGGCTTTTCCGGAAGGAGTGTTCCGAGTGATTAAGGACGCCGCCAGCTCCACCACGAGCAGAGGTGCAGTTGCATAACTTTAACTAGCTCAGGCTGAATAGTGGTGGAAAAAAAAATCACACAGGTTTTTATTATGGACCCCAAAATGTGTTGCAGACCCTGCCAGCCTGTGCCAAGGTCTTTTGCCAGTGGATCTTCACGGCCACTCCTATGGGAGGTATTTCAGGTGGAGCCGGAGGAGGCCCCTCGATCCCATTTTCAGCTGAAGTGTTCTTTGGTGTCTGTACATCCAAATAAACAAATGAGGAGATAGAATCTGTGTGTTTCATGGAGTAACTGCCAGGAAGGAGGCTCTGAAGAAAGGCCTAATTCTTCCTTATCTGTAACCATGCAGCCAATTAGAACCATCTGCTCTCCGTCTGCAGCCCAGACAGACAAGGGGCTGCAGATGGAGAGGCTGCAGCCTGCTCTGGAAGGTGTGAGAGAAATTCCTAAGTGAGGACAGGTAGGAGACAGCCCTGGAAGCAGTGAGTAGTAAGGAACAAAATAATTTTCTATATTCCGGGAAAAGATTTAGCAATCTCCTTTCTGGAACAGAGAAGAGAGAAAGGGCCTGGATCCACCATCCTTCCCTGGAGAAGGGATTTACTGGCCCTGTGACAGCAAAGGTAGTCAGGTCTGGGTTGGACAGAACTCTCAAGGGTGGATGTGGAGACCTTTCGACTGTGGTGCCTGACTTGAGATATTATCACTCTGTGAATCCCTGAGCTTTGTGTGATGTGCAAAGGTGAAAATATCTGCTGGTCTGGGCTTGCCTGGGGGGAAGGCTCCAGTGGGGCAGTTTGTCAGGAGGCCAGTCTCTCCTGCCAGCTGGGATTTTGGGATTGAAGTCAGTCAAGGTGCATCAATAAACATTCACTCTTGTGATGTTCTGGATTTCCAGCACGAGCAGAGATGCACATCCAAAAATAGCAAGCTCCTTTGCTAAGTGCGGTCCCCAACTTGGAGGTCATAAACTTTAGCAAAAGAGCAATCGCTGGGAAGGCTCTTTTAGTAGGGTAAATAGAAAGTAGACAAAGGAGGCAAGAACAGAAACCCCATTAGCCCCCTCCTGCTCTCTGCCTGAGGCTGCAGAGGTCTGCATTGAGCAGCACAAAGAACAGCCCCACTGTCCCCCTCTGTCAGCAGGGAGGTGCTGAGTTCAGTGTCCTGCCTTCCCAGAATAAAGCCCCGTGAGCTGCATCCTCTGCTGGACTGGGGAGGAGCAGGACTGTGGAGTAGCAGTAGTAGTTTTCTTGTCATGGGTTGAGAAACTTGGCTTTTTTTCCCCCGGGGCTGCCCCAGGTGTGTGGTGGAGCTGAGGCCTCCCCTGCCCTCCTCCCCTGCCTGGGCCTGGGGCTTCATCCACGGCTGTCTGAGAAGTGCTCGAGATTCCTGCACCCAAGTGGCACTACAAGTGAATGAATTATTTCCTTGGCTTTGATCCAGGTATAACTGTATTCCCTGAATTAATTTTGCTGGTAGCTCGGTGATGAGAAAAACCTTAAATCTCCAAACGGAACAGGGATAAAAGGCTAAATTTCCAAGTAGGGAGTTTTTTGTAGGATTCGGTCAGGAGAAAAACACAGATTTCCAGACTGGTTCTGTGGTGAAGTGAATCATCTAAAACTGCAGTGAACGTGCTGTGGGTACTGAGGGAAGACTTCCCCTAAACTATTAACAGGGGCCTGATCACCATGAGTTTAAACCAAAACGGTCAATTACTGGCTTTGAAGGCATCCTTCAAAGTGAATATTGCACCCTGAACCAGGAGCACATGATTTGCTGGTGCTCTCAGGTGGTGGCATTTCCCTGCCCCAGCCTCCTTTCTCCCTCAGCAGGGCCCATGTCACCTCATGCAGCATCTTCCATGTGCCTGCTGTCACGTCTTACCTGCATCTGAATTGTGAAGAAGTGCATGGTTGTGGTGACTTCTGTTTCTAGTATTTTGCTGGGTATCAGTTAACAGATATCATTTCCACGTCACTAGGTTTTGATCAGTTGCTAAAGATTAGCATTTTGATTTTTGTCTCAGCAGCTTCCCAGCAAACAGGACAGTGTGACCTTTAAGTGGCATCTTGAACTGCTGCTTTAAAGTGTTACCTTTAAGCTAAAAACCAAACTGAGCAGCTAAACACTATTTTATGTTCCACATTTTACCATTCATGGAGAATAATGCCAGACAGTCATTTTCCTTGCTCTTTCCCCAGTTATGGACTTGGCAAGCTGAGCTGTGTTCTGGTGTGTTCTAGGGCTTCCAAGACAGTGCTAGTTATTTTAATTTTGGTGGAGGGGTTGTATCCTCGGTGGTTTTGCAACTTGCTGTCTCTGTGTGTGCTTTAAGAGGAGGCTCCAGCCCCACAGGACCCCTGTGCAAGGTGTACAGAGGTTGGATGCTGGCTAATTATGTCAGAGCCTGGGTTGGAATTGGACATAGCTCGAAATATTTTATTGCTGTGGTTCTGATTTCAATGTCTCTGTGACCCCAAAGTGTCAGCACATCATCTCCCTTCCCAGGGAAGGGTAACTTTGAACAAGTGAGTGATTTGGAGTGGAATCAGCATGTTGCACACTGAGGCAGTCAATTCACTAATTAAAGGAGAGGGGGAGGAAGTAATCTGGAGCAATCAGCAGGGCATTTCATCCCAGTTCCTAATTTTCTTTTTTGTTGGGCTTCAGTTTTGAAAGACTAGAGAGCTAATGATTTTCATGAGCTCTTTTGCAGTACTGAAGGTGCGTGCATTGATGTGAGCAGTTGCACTGTGAGCTCCCTTCACACAGGATACAAATAGCCCTGATGTAATTGCTTGAGTTGGAAGCAAGGCATTTAGAGAAATATCTGTGGGTGAAGTTGACAAATTTTGGCATAGTAAGCAGTGCTTTTAAGGTATATCCTAATCTGATGTATTTACCTCACATAAAAAATTAATTGGAATAGAGATTCTGCAAAACATTCCCGTAAGAGTTCAGTTTTTATCCTTGAGCAGTTAATAAAAGACATTGGGGAAAAATTTATCTAGCTGTAGTGAACTAATGTCATAGTGATTTGATATATTATTTCTTTAAGTCCTTTTCCATGCAGTGTGTGTGGGGAGAGAGTTTGGTACATTGTCACTGGGAGTTCAGCTTTCAGTCCTCAGAGATGCCAGGGATAGCAGCAGTAATTCCCTCCTCTGATCTCACTTTCTGATGTTAATCATTATGACACGACATACCCGCTTTTAAACTGTGCTTGGATTGTGTGTTACAGCCCTGATTCAGGGCAGACACTTAACACTTAGAAGTGTTCAACCTCTGTTGTGTGTTTGGATGCCATTGATCTCTCTGGCTCAGGGAATGTGGTGAGGCTTTAGAAGTGCCTTTCTCCATATGAATGCTGCTGCAAATCAGACACCGTCAGCCCCAAGGGGGGTCTGATGTGTTTGGTTCTGAGATCAGAAACAAAACAAAATAAAACCCACCTCTGTTTCAGTTGAACAGTTAAAGGCTTCCCTTCAGGATCCTGACTTGGTCATGTGCTGTTGACGTGTGGTTTCTGAATTAATCTGGAGTGAACTCATTTTCATAACCAGTTCCAGCATCTCCGAAATGAATCAAACACATAGCCTGGAGAGTATTCATCCTAATCTAATCTAAAATTACTGTTTGCATTGTGCGTGCCTAATTATTCATCCTAAGTCATCTCTGGAAGGAACACACTGTCTTGTTTGTGTTTTTATTCAATATTTGTAAGGCTTAATGCTTAAAAGTAGCCTTAAAGAACTTGAAGAACTTACGATCCTGGTTTTTTCCTCCTTTACAGAAGGACATGTCGCTAAAGCCTCAGGAGAGGAAGGAGAAATGGGAGAGGCATCCAGGAAAGAAACCCAGAGAATCTGAAAACTGTGTGTCTGCTGAGCCGAGTGAAAATGGCCATAACAATGATGCTGGGAGCTCTGAGAGAGAGGCAGAGAGAGGCAAAGAGCGGATGAAGAAGAAACTCCCCCTGAAGTCCAAACAGGTAGGAGATCACTTCTCCTCTGAAGTGACCATGTCATGGCACTGGCCACTGTGAAATGTTGTCCTTGCTGGCAGGCTGAGATTGTTAATGTAAATGGCTTCTCTGGTAACTTGTGCTGGTGAAAACAACGTCTCTTAGAAGACTCTTGGCCAAGTGCACAAACCCTGTGTTGAGGGCAGGTTTCATAAGCTGAAATGGAAGATCAGGTGTCCTGGGTAATGTAGGAAGGAAGGAGCAGACCTCCCTTGTATCCTGCAGCTTTGAGGCAGTGTGGTGATTCATACCATAGGTTTGTGGCTCTTACAGTCTTAGACACAAAGAGAGATTATCAGCTGGATCACAACCTCCTTCAGGAAGGTGTGCTTGTTAATGTGCACCTGGAAGTTGCAGACATGGCTATGTCCATCTCAGGAATCAAGTACCCCCAGAACAGTGTGTTGAGGAGGAGAGACTATTCAAGTATTTTAGAAGTGGAGAGTCAGTTTGGAGAGAGCTTGCTGTGGGCTGTCTTTTCTCTGTGCCCTTCTACAATGTGGTGGAGCATGAATGAATCAGGAGTTGTCATGTGGGAGGGGATGATTGCAGAGACTCCTGTCTGAGCCACAGCACCTGCAGAGCCCAGAGGTGACAAAGAAGAGGCACTGGGGCTGGCAGGCTCTTCATCACCTCACTGCTGCTCAGCAGGGAGGTTTGCTGGTGACTCTGTGAGCATTCCTTGTTTTGCAATCCCCATAGCACAGCAGCATCTATGTGTGGACACTTTCCCAGTTGTCCGTTAACTGGGAGCCAGTGGGAACACCAGTGTCCTTCCAGCATTTGTTCTGAGCTAGGAAGCACACTGCAATGAAAAACTGGTTTTTATTCTCTGTGATGCAGAGAAAAAGAGCTGTTTAACCCAGGCACAGCTTTTGTTTCGTGGAAGTGATCCTGTACCTGTGCCAGACAGGGAAAGATTGAATTGTCCAGTTACTGGAATTGTTTTTTCAGACTTGCAATATTGTAGGATTTGAAAGAATCGTTAAGGTTATCTAATGTAACCCCCCACATAATTCTCCACCACACACAGTCTTTTGGGATTGCATTTTAGCATATTGGTTCAGAAGGGCTCATCACATATAAAGTTAGAAATTCTCATGGTCTACTCATGACCCTGCTCTTGTGGTGGCTAATTGTTGTCTTTAAAGCAGACTTTTGTTTTCTTCCTTTTGATTAAAAAAAAAAATGGTTGGAATAATTCAGTACAAATAATTTATGTAAAGATGTTAGTACTTTTTCTGCTTGCAAACATTTGGGTAGCAAATCATGTAATCATGCACTCCCAGGAAAATATTTGCCAGGTTTGTTTTCTTTTAACTCCCCATAGTGATACCAAATGTTTTGGTTTTAGACTCATCAGTGTCTGTGTAGTTAAGATATATCAAGTTTCTTGATTGGTTTTGGTACTAGTTGAGTGATAGGATTTCAATTCCCCCCTGGTTACAGGTGCAATGAGCTTGTGCACAAACTGTGCTCTGTGCCAACTGAAATGGTTTCTGGTTATGGATGAATAGATGCACATTTTAGTTTCCATGAAAGTCTGAACAACTAGGATCCTTTTCTTGGCTTCCAAACCCACAAACCCAAGCATGTATTTCACCAGAAGTGCCTGGCTTTGATATAAAATATTCAGAAGCAAGAGGTGCTGGATGGTATTCCTGCCTGACACTTACACCAGGGTTCTGGCATTGTGCTTCCTCAGCTCCTCTGCCTCTGTAAAGCTGCTGCTGTGTCAGGTTTTATATTTAAGTGAAAAGGCCCCAAACAGCACTCCAGCAACCCTTGGAGTATCCATAAAGCTGTCTCCCCTGCCACTCTGCTCCCCAGAGTAACAAAACAAATGCTCACGTTGATGCAACTGGGAGTGGAGAAGATTATGGGGACAGGGAGCACAAAGGAGCTCATTAGGTCTCAGTTGCCACCAAAATCTCCCTCACATGGAAGCTTGGCTGCAGTAAATGCTGCTTTTCTACTGATTGGAGTTGTTTCTTCTGGTCTAAAATTACGCTGCAGGACTTCAGTGTGTGGCAGGGGTTTGCACTGCTGGGGATGTGAGAGGCAGGGGGGAGGTTCCCTGTTCCTGCAGGAGGAAAGGGTTGTTAGCAGTGACATCTTCTACATGAAATTTAAAACTCAGTTTCATGTAGTTCTGGCCACTAGGGAATTCATGACACTTCTTCAGAAACCTTTGGGGGTAGGAGTTTTTGTTGCATTGGCAAACTCCAGTTTCTTTCATTATACGCTGCTGCTTTAGTTTACCATACAATTTAGATTGTTGGTATTTCAGCTTTGAAAAATGAGGACATGGTTATCTGTTTCTTCTGGCTAGTATTTGGCTGCCATGAGTGATTAAATAGGGGATTTGCTGCCACATTCATAAAAACCTGAATTCATCTTTCATTGTTTAATCTTTTTGTTTTCCCCTGTGAGGATAAGTAACAAACTCTAAAAAGAGCAAGGAGCTTGCACAAAGCGTATGAAATAAAAGCTGTGATGAGTGACTCATTAATACACCGTGCCTCTCTAAAGGAGTCACACTTAGAATTTATCTTTTATTGGAAAGGGAGGTTTTTTAAAATACCTTCTATTATCCTAACTGGTACAGTTCTGAAAACCAGACAAGTCTGGGGGTCTGTAAGGTTGATGAAAGTAGCAGCCAAATCTAACCTACATAAACTAGGCTATTCTTAGTTCAAACTAATTATGCAAATGATATAGACAAGTTCAATAATTTTTCCTTTTTTTTAGTAACCACAAAGTTCACACCTAGAATTCTGGCATTTCCTGCCAAGCTGTCTAGACAAATTGGCTGTAATATTAAGTTTCCTGGAATTTGGGGGATGATTTTTGCAATTCAGGGTTATTAAACATAGGTTTATACCTCATTTGGAAAGCTTATTGTAATTAATGCTAATTATATTGGGATGTTGCTTAGAAATTACTGTTCAATTTGAAGCTTTCCTTATACTCTCATCCCTTCTTTTCACAATGCTGCTGAATTGTCATCTCTTCTACGCAGCCTCCTCTAATAAATCAAATTGGGCATTATAATTATGGTATTCTGCTAATCCTTGTAGAGAGGTGCAAAGTGGTAAGCTGATTTGAGTGCCAGGTTGTCTGCTTTGTTTAGAAAATTAGATTAATACTTCACTGCATTTGACAAAGCATCCAGATTGCTGTTTGCTCCTGAATATTTGGTAGTTCTGTACCTCAGGCTATGGGGAGAGAGCTGTGAGAGCCAATCTGTCCTTTCCAGCCTATTACTCCCAGCCGTGTATAGAAGTCATTCAAACAGGTTTATCTCCTGCTGTAACCCAGCAGAGGGAGAAAAGGGCATTTCAAATAGTTACAGGTCCTCTGGTCAAAGATTTGTCAGGATTTGTTGGGGCTGCTCTCAACACATGCACACAGGGAAAGGTGCTGATCTGAAACTGCTGCTCTGCAATGGGGATCAACAAAACCTCCTGCAGCCATCAGCTGTCTCAAGGAATGGGGAAGTGTTGGAAGCTGGGGTGGATTTTCCTGTAGCCAGAGTGGCCTGCAGGAAAGCTGCCCCTCTGACAGTCTGTAACTGCCTCCAACACAGGAATATTTCTTGGAAATTAAGTCAATGCCTTTTCGAAAAGCCGTGTCCAGGGCTAAGCCTGTGGTTTGTGGAAGGGAATCCTCCCCACAGCTACAGACAGTGCTGGTGGGGGAGAGCAGCCCTTCACCTCTTTGGAAGGGCTCCTCTGTGGTTGGGGGTATAATTCTCTGAGTAAGAGGTAGGTATAAAATGAAACATTTTAGTTCCAGTGCTTCCTTGTTCGTCCTCTGTTCTGCTAGTTTTTAGAGAAGTCACCCCTTGAACTTGGAGTCAACCTTTGATTAGCCTTAGCTGGGCTGTTCTTCTCTTTCTTGGTGTCATTTTTGGAGTTGCTTATTCCTCTGAACGTCTGAGCACAGTGGATGTAGAACAGTTGGGAGTTTTGTTGGTTTTTTTGGTTGGGGCTTTTTAAAATTCTTTTCTAATTTTTTTTTCTGAGTTCCAGGACCCATTGACCTTTCTGTACACTGCCCCCCTGAAAAGAGTTGGGGCTAATAGGAAAGAGTTGCTGGTATTTCCAGTTACCTGAACCTCAGGCTCCGTGGTTAGTCAGTTTGGGAGCATCACAGTGTATTGAATATATTTAGATGTTAAATGTGGCTGCAGTAGCACTCTGTTCTGCAAATAGTCATTTGTCACGAAGATTAGTGTCTTACACCTCCTCCTTCCTTTTCTCACCCACTGTTTAAATCACCCGAGATGAGGAAGAGTCTCAGAGAAGCTGAGGAAAACAGGGTGGTGTAGCACGTATTTAGTGCTCATAAATAGCCTGTTGGGTTTGGAGCATGGGAGGAAAGGGCAGGGAAGCTGACGGGGTCGTGTTGCTCTGGAGGTGTGACATCTCTGTGACTTCAGCAGATCTTCCTGGAGGGAGGGAAAGCAGAGCTAATTCCCCTGTCTCATTCACTCCCCGGCCTTCGTCAAACTGCTGAGCATTATTGATGATTAATGTATATTGTTGCTGTGGCTCTTGCTGGACTGGAACTGCTAAATTGCATTAACAAGTTTGATTACCTATTCATGTGGTTTCTCTGTGATGCTCATCATCTCGTTATCCAACATTCAGTGATGGATATAACACCCTCCCTGCCCCAAGGGGAACAGTGCTCTGGGTTCGTGCTGAGCCGAGCTGAAGCCGATACACTGACTCATTTTCCGTCCAGGATTCTCACCGTTCCTCTGATGTCTCGGTGAAAATTGATAGCTCATCTTCAAACCAATTACATACCCCTGGCCCTGTTTGTGTGGGGTGGTGGTACCCAAAGGCTGTGGGGCTTTTCCCAAGGTAGAGAGAAACAGTCTAGAAGCCTGTCTGGCTAATGAGGTGTTTGGTGTGGAAAATTTCCTTTGGCATCAGTTGCTCATGCTGATGGTTGGG